TTTTTCTCCTCAAACTAAATATACTACAAAAAGGATTTTAGATATTTTCTGTCAATTTCTTAATTGTCCACGACCTTACTTGGACAGGATCTGTTATATAAGTTCGTACCTTTGTATCCTCGAGTTCTAAGAAGACAAGATCAAGTCTGTAAAGAAAAAACCTAAAACGCATTCTCCTGTCGTGGTCCATTGGTGACCACTGTAGTCGAAAAGAATTGTTGGTGGATTGCACCCTGACCAGTGATCGAATCTTGTCATGAGTAAAATACTAATTTAACTTCTAACTTCTAATTTTTAATCATTACTCCTGTCAAAAAAAAAAAAAAAAACCTAAAACATTTTTTCCAATACAAACAAATATTTCCTTTATTTCTTTTAAGTTAAATATCAGATTCTGTACAGGATGGCAGGTTTTCCTTCCCAATCGAGCTGCGACAAAGCATCATAAAGAAGAAAGAGAGTAGACTCAAAGGAAGAGGGTGTTTAGGGAATCTGCAACGTTAAATAAGTAGTTAGTGCCGTAGGGATTAGCAATTTTTTTGGCCTTCGGATTAGTGTGATTTATAAAGAGATTTTTTATAACTAAAAAGACATTTTATTTTGTTAATATTACATTATATTTTTAATATAAAATATCAAAAAATGTCTAATTTAATTTTTAAATCATATTTAATTTGTTTTACAAATATCATATAATTAGAATCTAAATTTAAATATTATTTTATTAATTATTATGTAATTAAATTACTACAAAAAATGAAAATGAAAGGGTTGCAAGAATTCTAAGCTGAAAATAAAAGGGTGCAGGCTATAAAGTGTCTTGTGCGACTTAAATATAGTTGGTGTAATGGTATAATAGCTCATTAAATAATGTGACATTTTTTGACTTTAACAATAATCACATTAAAAAAATTCAAAGAAAATCAATTTACCAAAAATGAAAAATCAAGCTGCATGTCAAAAAAAAGAATAAATTAGGGAAGAGCTATGAATGTGATACACCATGCATACTTTCTCTCAATGTCATAATATATATAAATATTATGTAAAATTATACATTTATAATTATAAAATATTATTAAATAATTAAATATATATGATAAATACCATGACAACTAGACTCCTAATTAAGTAAATTTAGTCAATTGTCTTTAATTCATGATGACGGAAGGCAACTGCCAAGTACTGAAATAGTACAAACGTAAGGAAAGAAAAATCACTAAGCTAGCACATTACCTCTCTTTTAGCCAAGAATAGTAAGCCTCTCTTATATTTGCCTATCTCCAAGCCCGGATATCAAAGATATTCATCCCATGCGCCCATGCACATTCATGGGGATCCAAATTCTTTGCTACAAGTGGATGGGAAATGTTGAAGTATGTCCTAAAATGCTTAGACATAACCCACACATCTTCACCTTTACAAGTTTCTACAGCGCCATTAACCTTTCCCCCAAGGTCAATCTCCTAGAGTGGAGATAAATCACGTTGAACTACAACATCATCATCTAAAAAGACCATCTTGCCAGGGCGTGGAAAGAGCATTTTAAAACACAGTGTGCACATAGTCTCCAGCAAAAGAGAAAGAATAAAAAGGGACAAGATCATTGAATAATAATAAAGCTCCCAGTGGCATAAATGCCTAATTGGGTCAATTCTTAGATACAGCCCAAAACCTTTGTAACTTTCACATGCAATGAGAAGGTCACACATTCGTCTTTGCTTTTTCCAGCACTTGATCATGGTACTCTGAATTTTCTTAGCCACCACCTATGGTTAATCACTGAAAACGTCAAACTAAAGATTACTGTCAAATCAATCTTAACCCCATATGCAAATTAACCAACCTCAATACCTTGGTAAAATCTTTTCTTTTTCCTAATTCTTCTGGGTTTAACAGTAGAAAGATACCCCTGTTACACAAAACGGAATTTATTTTTTTAACCTAGAAAATTAAAATTCTATTATTCTAAGGTTCTAACGTGATGTTTTAGAAACACGCTGCCTGCCTATCACAATTTCAAGTATCAAAACTTCCAGGAAGCAGCCTAGAAGGGAAGAAAATTTAATTTCATGGTTTTATCTGGTCTGATTTGATAACCTCTGCTAAATTTATCTGAAGATGGTTGACCAAGAATAACTACTTCGGATTTCTAGCCTGCAATTTTGAAGCAAATGTTCCGGGCGTACTATCAGAGAGGTTTGCCTTGGCAACATGATTGCCATGATGGTAATTTCTGAACCCATTATGGTTCTCAAAAGCTCCAGGCACGAGAACGTTCTCTCTTGTTAATCAAACTCATGAACTCCTTTCACGAGGGCAAATCCGAGTTAAGTTTCTTGTCAGTAATGACATGGAAGACAATCTTTTCAGGTTTTAGAGGTGACTGGATAGAGGAAGTGACTACAACAAAACAGCTAAAATGTTAGCAGTTGAAGGGACAAAGTGGTGGCGGCAGTTGTTAGAAAGGACTCGAAGTAGCTCTTGGGAAGGCAATGCCTACGTGCATGAGCTTTGGAGGAGTATTCATCGATTAAACGCAAAGACAGTGGATGCCTTTTGGAGTGGAATTTGCAGCGGAAGTGTTTGTCCATCACCTCTACAAATTTAGATCCCCTAATCTCTCTTTGAAGTTTCTCCATCTGTGCCAAAAGACAAATTAATTAAGGATTATGCCAACGTTTTGTATAACATGTAAATAATCTAAGTCCACACAATTGCAACTAGCCATTTAATTCCTCTAAACAACAGAATACAGAAATGTTAATAGGGTAAGCAACAGGAAAAAAAATCAGAAACCAGAACTTCCCATTGCAATATATGACATGAAAATATTTAGAGCACCATGTGCGTAAACTCAAGGAACATGAATGAAAATATCTTATTTCCTAACCAGCTTAAGCCATATTATTATAAATTAATTAACTATTAATCCCTCTTATAAAAAACTAAACAAATTTAAAAATTATGTAACATACCACTCCCCTTAACATGAAAGCAAAGGTCCATGCATCATATTGGTTATTCTTCATTTAAAAAACAAGTTGACTACATGAATCTAGCAGTTTTAGATCATCTGCAATTTCCTCAGTGTTTACTCATTGAAGTTTTTATAGAAGTCCTTGACCAGTCTCTGCCCCCCACACCACACAATGATTCAGTTTAAGTTAAAATTGCTTTTAAAAATAAAATGTTGATAGCAAACAAATTGAAAGGAGATTTTTGTATGGAGAAAGAGGACGTATATTTATCCCTAAATCATAAACCCTCCCAAGAAACCTTGGTCCCAACCGCCTACCTAAACAATCTGCAATACAGCCGAAAACAAGAACAACAGTCATGGATCCACACACCTAGAGAAACATGAAGACAGAAGACAAGAATCAAGATAACCGTCACCCAGAATTTTGACCATGCAAGTTGGCAGTTTTTGGTATACAGGTGTACAAAAAGGTGACTAGAAGCGGTTGAGGCGTTTTCTTTGTGGCATTATTTGCAGTAGTTGCTAGAAGTAGTTCCGTGGCGCTTGGAGAAGGGTTTTAATGGTATGACGTTGTGTTTGGATGCTATAGAGCAACAAAGCTTACAGACACATAACAGGCATGACTTGTGACCCCAGTTGCAAAAGACAACTAAGCTGATCCAAAAGTATTATGGTACACACCAAAATTATAGTATTGACTTAAAATTCAGTCTCAACTAGCAAAAGCAATTGAATTAAAAAGGGATAATAAACACATGCTGATGAAAATTGGTAAACACATAAGATTCTGTAAGATGCTCTTTCCAATTTCAAAATGCCAGAAACCCAATTACTTGAATCATACAATTTGTAATCAGTAGCTCTCATTAACCAAGTACGCAACCTTGGTACCCCAAATATAACTCAGATCACATAAACCCATTGGAAGATTCCAGCACTTACTCATGATTCTATTCTTCATTGTTGCTGTCACAATGGTCTAGCAATAAAGAGAAGAAAGCAAGAGTTGCTTCACAATGTCGCCCTGAAGGGTTTAACTGTTTTTCAACCCTCCAGAATAAAGGACAATTTTGATCATAAAATCGTGACCTAAATCCTTTCTGATTGCTGTCTCTTGTTCCATTTTCAAACTTGTAATCATGTTCAACTAGAGTTTTGACTAGTCCTTGATACATACAATCAGCAGTAAATGAATACCAAAAGGGGAACACACTTTTGGGTCCTAGTACCGGTGTCGAGCTATCAAATGATTGAGAACAAGCAATTGTATCATTTTCAACTCTTTTGTGACTGCATCAAACACCTCTAAGTGATATCTCCAACTGCTCTATCCTCTTAGCCAAATCATGCTTCCCACAATTCTTCAATCCATCAGTAACCATATCAAAGCATCTTGAAATTGGAACTAGTCCAAACTCAGTCATTTCTACCAAATAGTTTGCTGCCTCCACAAATCGCCCTCCACGGCCACACATTGTTATCAACATTGTATAAACTGGTCTATTTGGTGCATGACCCTTGACCTTCATCTCACCAAAGAAGCTAAATGCATCATCAAACTGCCCTTTTCTACACATTGCTTTGATTATAGGAGCATATAGACTGGGAAATGGTCTGTAACCAGCTTCAATAGAATTATTTAAAAGCCTAAATGCCTCATCAATCCTACCCGCTTTTGAAACTGCAGGTACAAGGATTTTGTAAGTGTTTAAGTCTGGACAGAGCCCTAATTTACACCCGCTATGATACATATCAATGCAAAAATCCACGTCCCCCGACGTAGAAATAGTTTCCACCAATGAATTAAAAGTTCCAACATCTGGAATAAATCCCTCTTTGAGCATTTTTCTCACCATTTCCTTTGCTGATTCAAGATAACCTGCATTCAACAACCCTTCAATTAACAAATCTCTACCTCGTACTGGAGGATTAAAGCCCTTCTTACTCATCTCCTCCAGGAACTCTTTAGCCTCCCTCATCTTCCCTGCAGAACACCATCCAGTCACAAGAATTGCATAAGTCCTCTTATCAGGTTCCACACCCTTCCTGATCATCCTCCTTATTAATGCATATGCCCCATGGAACATCTTCACCTCACAAAGTGCAAAGAGCAAAGAATTATATACACTAACAGTTTGTTTGCAACCAAAACCAGTACACTTATTGAAAACCTCCACAGCCTGATCAATGAGACCATGCTTGCCATACTCTTCAATGATAATTGAAACTGTATCGACAGAAAGAATAAGGTTCTGCTTCTGCATTTGCTGAATTGTTTTCCACAATGATTCATACTTCCTATGGCGTATCAGGATCTTGACCAGCTCCTCATACTCAACAGATGTTGGGAGGTAAATAGAGCGAGCCCAGGAGAAGAAGCGGAGAGATTCTATGGGGGAATTTGAGCAAGCACGAAGGACACGGAACACAAGCTCAGAATTAACAGAAATACACATGCTGTTGAGGGTGCGCTCCGGATGAATTTCACGGCGAACAATGTTGGAGATATGCTGGATTGCTGCAAAGTAATCATCTTTAGAGATGGGAGGAGACTGGGGAACGGAAGCATAGTTGCGGGCACTTGTGGAGGAAAGGGTTTTGAGGGAACAGACAATGTCATGGGATCTAGCTTGAAATTGGGAGAGGAGCTTTGTACAACGGAGCATTTGGGCAAGATTTTAAATCCTGCTAAGTTTCATTTACTCTTTCAAACAATTGATTGAGGCAACAACGGAATAATCTGTAATTCCAAAAATATTCAAAGAAAAATAAGAAATAAAAAAGCCATTAACAAACCCATTATTGCTTAAGATGTAAAAGTCATCATCAACCCATTAACAATATTAACAATTGGTTGTAAGAGTAAAGTTGATAGCATATGAACAAGCACTCAGATTTTAATGTCAGATTGTCAGTTAATATAAATTTGCTCAAGAAATCTAACAGCCATTAATAAAGTCATCATCTTCATTCACATTTCATTGACAATCACTTAAAATTCAAAATGAATTGAAAATTAAGTGTAAAATGTGAAAACAAGGAGTCACCACTTGTTCAAATTATGAGGTGGCACAAGTCATTTAAAACAAGGAGGTTAGGGTCTAGGGGTACGGTTAAGAGTGAGGAAGGGCATATGGGCGCCTCACAATCCTTCATATAACATACAATAGCATACTTTAACATTGGGGATTAATTCAATAAGCAAACAAACAAGCAAATCATTATTTTATTTATTTTTTTGGTTTTATATTTTTTTATATCAATAGGGAAACTCTTCTCAATTCAAAAACCATGAACCAAATAAAGGACCAAAATAAGCAAAGAAATACAAACTAACTTGCAAGGAAAACATAGATTAAGAAAATGAGTATTTAATATTCTAGCAAGCCTTAACACTACATGACCTCCAAAAAAAGGGACAAGAAAGAAAGAAAAGAAAAGAAACTTGAGACAATACATGGAACCAAAAAGATAAAGCATGGTGATGTGAAGAGAAAAGCTGCATGTGCATGTTGAATAAGGTTACTCAAATTTTCATGAATGACTATAAAATGTGTGTAAGTGGATAGGAAAATAAAAAGACTGATGATTTTATGCAAACAAAATTGTGTTAAGAACTGAAATGAAGCCAAGGTAAAAGCTAAGCAAACCAAAAAGATAGATAAGTTATGACTTTCAAACTTACCATACTCAAACAAAGAAAACTAATATTTGAGTTTTACTTTTAATCCATCAGCGAAGAACAAACACAAAGAAATTAAACAAAACGCATACCTTTCATTTCAATTAGACCAAAACATGGAATGGCACATCAACATCAAAAACCAGACTGGCAATTTCAGTAAGAAGGCTCACTCAATGTCAATGTTGACGTCAAAAGTTGAAGCACAACACAGCGTATCCACTTCTATTCATCAAAGCATAATAGTGTCAAGTTCAGCAGGCCAATTAACTAATTCAAAATTCAGAGTCACCAAAATCGCAACAAAAAAAAAAAAAAAAAAAAAACACCTAAAATGGAGAAAGGCCAATTTATTTGTTTGCTGTAAACTTCAAAATACAAGATTTCTTCCTTCCTTTGCTTCACACCCTTTTTGTTAGCTCTCAGATTTCTTCCCTTTCTCCCTCAATTTTTTAAAATGTCCTCTCTAAAGCCAAAGGCCCCCTTTTTATAGACAAAAGGGAAAACCCAATCCTATTATGCTTCTAATATCCAATCCAAATCCCTAAGATAACAACCCAATCCTATTTGGTATGGGATTTCTTAGTTCTTCCCACATTTACTCGTTTTCAAGTCTAGATTCATACCTTTTAGGCATTAGGACTCCTACCTTAAATCAATTTTGAACTCCTTGTAGTTGATGACCTACGATTTGTAGGTCTTATCCAAATCCTTGAATTGGCCAAGTTTATCTTCAAAGAAATCTCCCTTGGCATCATGATTCATCCAAACTAAAGTTGATGAAAAAGGAAATTTGAGAAAAGAGGTGTGGCAAGAACAAGAGAGGCTAGGGTTCAACTGAAACCCTAGCCTTTTGTTTTTATTTTTGGCCCATTGGCAAAATGACATTGTTTTGCCATTTGCTCCTCTCAACCCTTCAAGTTTCCAACCTTTATAAAAATAGTCCATTGACTTCTAATTTTATCATTTAGCCCTTGATAAAAATTGGGTTATGACAGTGGGCTCTAGGTTTGATTCTTGTTCATAATGTTACTATGGACTAAGATTAGGAACTTTAATCAACTATGACACTTATTTCACATTTGGTGAGTTTTGGAGTTGTTATGATGGATGGAGCTATTGCATACGGTCTCAAAAAGAGTTCTCTAAGATGCAACATCATTGATCTTACAAGTCACCCTTCAGTTGGATATCTCCATGATATAAAGCTTTATTGATGATTATGGTGAAAATGATGAACAAGTCAACAAGGTGAAGATGGGTTGGCGATTTTGATTTGCTAGATTAATGATCAATTGACAATTTTTTTGTTTCAGTATGAAATCTAACTTCTTTCAATAGAGTTTGATCTTGTTGATCCTCCATAGATTTCTTGATTTTTATTTTAGTTTTGTTTGTCTCTTTCAACCATATTGCTAAAAATTCATAGGTAAGCTTAAAATGTTTAATCTCAAATAAATATGTTTTTAATGAATTTTAACAAAAATAAATATGTTTTTATTGAATTTTAACAAGAATTGATAGCTGAGTATCCTAATTTTATTGCTTTATTGATATATTTAGGGGAAAGGTATCATATTACTGATTTTAAATGAGAGGTGGAAACTAACTACTAAGTTATTATTTTGTATAATTTTTATCTTTATTTTTTATTTTTTTGACTAATATGTAACGTGTTTTACATTTTAATATTAGGATATAAGTACTTATCTATTAAATTTATTAATTGCTTAGTATTTATGTTTTATAAATACAAAGAATACATTTATAAACATTAATCTTAAAATAATTAAATTAGCAAGAAATTAAAGTTCTATAAAAATGAAAATTAAATAATAGATATGGTGTTTCTTAAAAAAAAATTCTTTTTTCAGTCATTTTATTATTATATTGAATTAGAAAACCTTTTATAAATAAAAATAATGTACCAAACAACTTTAAATTCTAAAAGTATTTATATAAAAAAATTTACTAAAACCTTTAACCTTTTGAAAACAAAACTTTCACAATAAATTTTCTCAAATAAATCAAAAACTCCAGTTACGTAAAAAAAAAAAAGTGCTTAATGGATGAAAAGTTATTATAATTTCCATGTTAATAATTTAATTTAAATTTCGAGCAGACTTAACTGAAGAAAAGTGCCACGCCAGCATTTAACTTGCAGAGGATCAAAATAATCAAAGAAATAAACTTTAGGGATTAAAAAAAAGTTTTTTTAAGTTGAGGGATAAAAAAAGAATTTTCACCAAAGTATAAGGACTAAATTAAGATTTTAACCAATAAATTCTAACACTTTTTTAAAAACTGATCGGTCCTTCCGTCCACTTCTCTAGGGATGATAATTTCCTCTAATACCCACGAAGTTCCACGGGAATTCCCATTGTAAGGGTAAAGATTTTAAATATACTCCTTTTTATGAGGCAAAGATGGAGACATTTGTTTCCCTAAGAATTTTCTTCACTCTGTGGAGATCCATATATAATAAAAAAGATGTAAATTTATTTATATATTTTTAAATATATTACAAATTAATTTTTATTCATTCAATCCAATTGACTAACCTAACTCAACCTAAGTTGTCCAACCAAATTCCTTTTCCAATCTTCCCAAACCCAACTCAATAAGTCAATTGCAATTTGCAATTGCAAGTTCGCAGCTCATTAAATAATAACCCTAGCTGACCATCAAATTCCTCCTCATCTCCTCAAGCTTTTGACAGTGGTTGCTTGCCTCCACTCACCTCTTAGGCTCCAACTCTAGGTAATCCTCACCTCACGATGCACCTACTCCATTCCTCACTTCATCAATCTTTAGTCATCTCCTACTAGCTACTGCAATCTGCATCTTTTTCAACTCTATCAAGATAATGTCTAAATTCACTCAAAGTATAAGGATGTGAACGGGGAGAAGGAAAGAGAGGCAAAGGAAAGGAGTGAGAAAACAAAGTAGAGTGAAAGAAAGCCCATTACTTTACCTCAATGATCACAAAATCTACGCTACTCCCTCTTTTCATCCTTTCTTTTCTTTACTTTTCTTCTCTCTTTTTTTTTTTTTTTTTTTTTTTTTT